GCTGTGGGTTGTGGGTGTGGCTAAATGTGGGCGTGGACAATTGTTGGGGTGGGGTTAGCTCTTGTGGGTGGGGCCAAGAGTGAGGGGTGGGACTAAAGGGGGCAGGGCTGAGAGTTTGGGGAGGGGCTAAAGGTGGGTGGGGTCACAGGTTGTGGGTGGGGGTAATTTGTGGGTGGGGTTGTGGGTGTGGCTGAGTGTGGGTGTGGCCCTGGCTTGTGGGTGGGGCCAATAATTAGGGGCGGTGCTAATGGTGGGTGGGGCTGAGAGTTTCAGGTGGGGCTAAAAGTGGGTGGGGTTGTTTGTGGGTGGGGCTAAAGCTTGTGGGAGTGGCCAATGCACAGTGTGGGCGTGGCCAGACCTGACCACACCCACCCCCCGCCCCTTTCTCCCTCCTTCAGCTGCGCCTTCGTCACCTACGAGAAGATGGAATCGGCCGACCAGGCCATCGCCGAGGTTTGGGGGCTCTGGGGGAGGTCTGGGGGGTCTCTGGGGGGTCTCTGGGGGTCCCCGTGCCCGCCCTGACCCCCCCGTGCCCCCCCAGCTGAACGGGGCCGTGGTGCAGGACGTGCAGCTCAAGGTCAGCATCGCCCGCAAGCAGCCCCTGCTCGACGCCGCCACCGGGAAGTCGCTCTGGGGGTCCCTGGGTGAGTCTGGGGGCGGCCCGGGGGGCCCTGGGGCGCTCAGGGGGTCCCGGGGAGGGTCCCCCCACGTCCCTGACCCCCCTTCCATCCCCCCCAGCCGTGAAGAACAGCGCCAAGGGCTCCCACCGCGACAAGCGCTCGCAGGTCGTGTACAACGAGGACCTTTTCGGGGGGCAGTGAGGGACCCCCGGGGGCCTTTGGGGGGGGCAATAAAGGGCGAGAGGGACGTGGCCACGTTTATTGTCACCTGGGGGGAGGGACGGGGACCCCCCAGACACAGAGGGACCCCTGAAACCATCCCCACAGCCCCCTTGGATCCCCCCCCACGTCCCACCCCTGTGGGGTCGCGTGGCCACGGCGTGTCCTGGCATGTCCTGGCATGTCCCAGCGTGTCCCAGTGTGTCCTGGCGTGTCCTGGCACGTCCCGGCGTGTCCTGGCGTGTCCCCGGGGCTCAGGGCAGGAACCCCAGGTCCTCGTCCTGCAGCTTCTCCCTCAGCCAGGGCAGCACCTCGAACAGGCTCACGTGGAAGTCGCGGGCGTAGGACGGGGCCCGGCACTGGTGGCACACGGAGGCCACGCCCCAGCTGACCACGCCCACCTGCAGAGGGCACACGGGGG